TTTTCACATTCGGAAGGAGAAGAAATAATAATAATAATTGATGATGATCACGTGAGAAAACAAGTGGTCGTTTTCTTTAACCGCTGAGGGACGATTTTGGAAAAAAAACTGTCAATTCGGGGTCGGTCATACCAATCAGGTTGTTAAACTTTTTTTTGAAACACAAACAGCAAAAATAACAAGGGTTTTTCATGTTGAGAACTGGTTTCGAAACATTGAAATGAGGTTGAACATCGGGCAACATTGAACGAGAGACCGACGGTGAAAAAAATTACAGATTTTTCGACACTGTTTTTGTCATCGATGGAGGTATTCAAGTACTTACATTTGATTGATACACAAAGTTGGGGGGTTATTTTTTCCATGCCTAAGGATTAAAAGTAGAAAGAGTCTTCTAAAAAGAAGGAATGAGCTGAACACATCAGGGAGATAATAATGAGTCAGTCAATCGGGTCCAAAGTGATTTCTGATCAAAACAGCTAAGTGTGAAGTTCCTCTCATCATTTTCCCCTTCATCAGAAAAGAAAAAAGAAACAAATCAAATATTTTTTATCTTCTTTACAGATATTCTATCTCTAGAGTAGCCGTGAAAAAAAACCATCTACATACATTCCATCACTTGTCATCAGGCGGAAACAATACAGTTAGTTCATGAAACAATCTCGCCGCCCTTACAAATCACATAAATCAAACTAATCGCTTTCGAAACACACATATATACAACATAATTACCTGTTAAAAACACGGAAATGATATTTGAACATGAAACAAATACTCTAGTTGGAATTTGTTCAACTTCTAGTTAAAACGCGATCGAAAACTCAACTTTAATCTATGACTCACAATCAGGATCTAGACGAATCAATATTGGGAAGGTGTTAGAAAACTTTGAGAATAAAAAACAAGGCTCAATTTGTTTTGTCCAGTCAACCTGAACGAACAATGAAACATTGCAATGGTCGCCACGTCCTGTCCAATATGAGTCAGAAGGAGCCTCCCAATACCAAAACAGTATCAATTTCAAACTAACAAGTGAAGCTAGAAAGCTTCGAAAACTGTTTGAATATTCAAAAAAGAGAATGGGGGCGGTGTACGTCGTGTTATGGGAACGCTTCATTGTTTTTTGGTTGCATATTATTGTTTCCATGTGTGGGTGTTTCGAGTTTTTCACGAAATTTGATTTTTATTCTTTTTCATGGCCTAGGAACGAATTTGAGTTTTAGAGGAGAAAGTGGGAAAAATGATTGGCTTGAAGAATCAAATTTTAAGGATTACTGTAAATCGAAAATGTTTTGAAAATTCCAAAATGGATCGGTGGAAGTCGAAACTCAAACTGTCTTCCAAAAATGATTTTTACTGTAGATCAATTTAGAAGAAACTCACGAAGCGATGTTAAAATTTTCAAGTTTTTAAAAGATTTTTCGATTTAAAGGTGGAGAGGCAAATAAAAATATTCCTTGAGATTTTGTTCATACACTCCTTGGGGAGTCCAAGTCATTCAATTTCTAATTTCCTAAAATCTAAATTTTCAAGATTCAAAATTATCAAAATCTGTCGATATCCCTATTTCTCGTTCACGTTTTTCAAAATCTTTGGCAATTTTTTATGTCATTGTTCAACTTTTTAAAGATTATCTGGGACCATTATTATCCATACTTGTCATTGGACGGGCCGGGCCGGGTCAAAATGAAAAATTCTCCGGCCATGACCCGGCTCGGCCCTGCCCGGCGGGTCAATAAAGCCCGGCACTGTCGGCCCGGGTCAGTTTCTGAAATTTCGAAATTCAGAAGTTTTTTGAAATTTTCCGAAGTTTTCGCAAAATGTTCATTAAAAATCAAAGTTTTGATACTTTAGTTAGAGCAGAAAATCTCAGGAAGTCTTTTTTGAGATGGAAATCAACAAGTATTTTCTGAAAATTTTTCACGAAATCAGCTACCCGGGCCGGAAAAAAGTTTTTGTTGACCCGGGATTTGACAAGTATGGTATTATTCAATTCAATTCATATATTGTTATCTTTTTTCAAACTGATAGTTGTACACTTTTAAAACTATTGATCTATCCAACTTGATCTACAATAGTCTTCCAACTGATATTTTTTTGCAATTGTAAGCTCAAAAATCAGTGAGCCAATAATATGTTATGGCACCGTGTTTTGTTTACTCAGCCGAGGGCAAAAGTTAAACAATGTGCGCAAAAAATTCGAAACTCTCTCCTTTCCTATTTTACGTGAATCGCACGGAGCACCAACATTTTCTCTCCATTCATCTCTCTCACACACCTGGAGTGTTTTGCTCCGTTTTTTGGCTCCCAATTTCAAAGAATGGATCAACAGTCCCAACGTGAAACGCGAGCATAGAGAACTTTTTCAGACGAATACCGGAAAAGAAACAAATAGAGCACAATTGGCCAAAGAAAATACGTCAGAAAGAAAAACGAAAGGACAAACACGCCTGTGCCGGTGGCTACAGAAAACAAATAATATATAGTCAGCAGCGCAGAGCAGCAGCAACAAAAACTTGATCCTGGGAAGCTTGGAAGTATTACGCAACAGTCGCGATACGGTCGCGCTGAGAACAACGTGAAACTTCGTTTCCAGGGACTTTCGTACAGAAAGATGACTAAGAAATCTGAGGAATGACTCAAAAGTTTGTACCTGGATCGGAAAAGACAGGATCAAGCCGTACAGGCAAGTACAAATGTTGCAACAAACAAAAAACAACAGTAAGCGAAGAGAGAACAGGTTACCGGTAATGGGAATGCTGAAGAGACACGAAAAAAAGCTTCGCCTTGTTCAGAAAAAGAATAAGAAATAACAAATTGCAGAGAGAAAACGATGTGAAGTTTTAGCAAGAAATTGACAAAGAAGCTAACATGTGATTAATCGGGGGAAATGTTATGAAAAAAAGGAATTAGAGCAGTCTGATGAATTTTATTTCTGAGAGACCAAAATTTTGGTTCCTAGGAATTTCAGAAGATTTTATTAAATCATTTGTTTTGATCTAACTTTTGATATAAACCAAAGCAAATTAAAATCAGATGAGATTGATGAGAATTCACTAACTCGAATTAGTAAAATTTCATCATTTTGTATTTGAAAAATGCTGATAAAAGACATTTTTTGCAATAAAAGTTCTAAACAGTTAAAAATATACAATAAGCTACTGTAACAATGTTATAAAATTTTGAAAAATTGTATTGAGGCCCTTACACTTTCAATTATCTCGATTCTTCAAGAAGATACCAAAAAGTGGTCTACATACAAAATACTTTTGCCATTCTGATAATCAAGTTATCTGTTGAGAACTTTAAAATAATAAAAAGTCTTACAAGAATCGAGAAAAATTGGCTCAATGTTAATAGTAAAGCATACTTGCAAAATCAGCGCCCGGGTTCTTCAATTTGAAAAAAAAATTGTAATTTCAGAAACATTTTCACATTTTTTTTTGAAAATTTTTTAATGGACATTTTTTATCTTGAAAAGTGTTTTACTTGACAGAAAAATCGTCCATTTTTTCAGTTGACCCCGAAAATTTTTTCAGAAAACCCAGGCCTGGCTGGGCCGAGCCAGGCCCTGGCCGGGCCAGGCCCTGTTTTGCCGGTTTCCTTGAATTATAGGAATACAAACCAAAAAAATCAGAGAGAAAGGAATTTGTGTGCGTTAGAAGAAGTTTAAAAATGGACACGAACGATTGATAGCTCTAGAGGCATATAACGATGTTACGATTCAAAAAACAGGGAAAAATAGGGGCTTGATCAGCAAAATATGATTGTTTGTGTGCTAACATAACATATGAATCAGAAGGTATACGGTATCAAGATTAATAATATTAATAATAAATTGAACAATAATATATTGAGATCATTGAAATAAAAAACAAGCGTCTTACAATGTTGCGCGTCTAATGAATGAGAAAAGAAGAGGAGCCAGAAGAAAAAAACAGATGTCTTACAAAATGAAGGAGAAGAAAGGGGCGCCTAATGAATTATGAGTTCGGACCGATGCGACATGACCTCGCCTTTTGTTTATATGTAGTTTTTTTTTGTCTTTTCTGGAGACATTCAAAAATAGTCTCTACTTTCTCAAGGATGGTAAGGCCTTCACACAGACACAGCAAAAATGTGTCGGCGGATTTCTTCTCAGAAGAGCGAAAACTGTTTATTTTGGCATAAACGTGTTTAGCATCGCAACCTTGACGACGAAGGTGGGATGAAAAAAAAAACAGAACTACAAGGATGAGTCAGGTGGCGTTCAGACTGTTTCTCTCCTCTTTTCCAAACAACACGTAGATGTGAAGTTTAAGAAGAAGAATAAGAATGAGAAAAAGATTAAGCACGCATATTGCCTCGAGACGAACATCATGTACATGCTTGAATAGACCGAACTGAACTGTAATTGTGCGGTGAGGTGAAAATGAAAACATACAGATCAAGTCTGAGAGAAGAGATTGAGAAAACAGATGTGAGATTTGTTTTGAATCAGATACGGTATGAAGGGTTAATTGCAACTATTAGCCCTACCCCCTTCAGGCGTATCCTTCAAGGACTTCAAAACATTTGACATTGAATTTGAAAAGGAAACAGAAACAATTTTAAAGGTTTGAAACAACATTCTCCACTTCCTGTGTCCTATCGATGAACACGTTCAAATAGGTTATCAAACTGATAAAGGAACGAACAATTTCCGATCATAAGAACGATGTATGTGTGTTGTGGTTATCATGATAAGAGGAACTATGGTATATCAATTAGATGACGATTAGCATTTGGAAATAATTGAGAAGAGTGCGTTGGAGAGGAGGAAAAAAAGCGAACGATCAAAGCTGATGGAGGATTCGTGAAAGTAGCAAAAGTGTAGATTATCTGGCAGAGTGGATGGTAGAGAAAAAACACACGAAAAGCGCGGAGGCATGTAGTGCATTTGTTATTAGTTCGTGGTTGCTTTGAATCGGAAAAATCTGGGTGGTAAGTGAAGGGGGATAAAAGAGAGAGTGGATCGAAACATGGATACACTTTTGAAAAAGGTGAGTGCAAGACACCGCAGACTTACATTCAAGTGAAAGGACAACATAGAGAAACAACCGAAAATCCGTGAATTCGTTGAGCGAGCGAAAGTTTCGGATCATCAAACTGTCGAAAGCGAGGCAAGGGGGGAGTGTCACAACAATCGACGAAACCAATCTTCTTCGTCTACTTCATCCTGACATTTTTTCGAGAGGAGGTGAAGCAAGGACTACTACATTGCATGTTTTTCTCTAAAATCCAAGGAGGTGAAAGTGCATTGGATATAGTACAAGCATCCTTTCAATCTTCTTAGAATCTCATGGGGCGGTTCAAACAGGTTTCAGACTCTGTGTGTTTCCATTCCGAATTTCGACACTTTTTATTCATCAAAGGATGAAAGAGGAGAAAGCAAAGAAGACGTGGTGGGGGTGAAGAGAAGGCGATGATTTCAAACGAAAACGGTATCTTTCTGTCTGGCCCGCGTCGACAGGTGAGTGAGTCTATCTTTGTGTGTTTTGACGCGCCAATAAGGAAAAATCAGACAAGGGCATCAATCACAGATTTTCACTTTTTTCTACCCAAAAGGTCTGTCTACCGTACTGATGATAATTTTGTCGGGTCTTTGATGACGATTGAAATTCAACTTGATCTGGTGGTCTTTGGTATAATGGGATAACAAAGCTCAGATATAGCTCAGATGTTTCTCAAAATATGTAGAATCTCAGAATCTCGGATTCCAGGAGTATCAGAAAAATCTCAGAATCACAGAATCACAGAATCTCAGGATCTCAGAATCTCAGAATCTCAGAATCTCAGAATCTCAGGGTCTCAGAATCTCAGAAACTCATAATCTCAGAATCTCAGTTTCTCAGAATCTCAGAGTCTCAGAATCTCAGGATCTCAGGATCTCAGAATCTCAGAATCTCAGAAACTCATAATCTCAGAATCTCAGTTTCTCAGAATCTCAGAGTCTCAGAATCTCAGGATCTCAGGATCTCAGAATCTCAGGATCTCAGAATCTCAGGATCTCAGGATCTCAAAATCTCAGAATCTCCGAAACTCAGATTCTCAGAATCACAGAATTTCAGAATCTCAGAATCTCAGAATCCCGGATCTCAGAATCTCAGAAGCCCAGAATCTCAGAACATCAGAATCTCGGAAACTTAGAACCTCAAAATTTTATTTTCAAATTAAGCTTTTGCATTCTACCGTATCAAAACCTATTTTTAGTAGTTGTGCTAGAAGTTTCCGATTATTTTCTTATTTGTGCAACATCAAAACAAGATTTTGCTTGGTACATGTTTCTAACTTAAGCAGAAACTATTTTTTTTTCTCACAAGCGCTTTGATCCAAACCGGTAGTCAAGGAGTGAAGGGTAAACACACGGGGAGAAAATGTCAAAATATGGAAATGCATGTAAACTGAGAAAACTAATGAGATTCAGAACCAGATTCAGAGGAAAATTCATACTTGACAAGAATGTATCATATGTTTGTTTTTCGGTGGCAGCGTCTGATTTTTTCTGAATTGAATTGAAGATTCAGAATTTTGAGAAGTCGTAAATTCTTAGAAAGGAATTTCCAGGAATTTAGGTTTAAAAATTTCCAGGAGTTTAGGGTAAATTTATGGATATGTTTGTAAAAGGAACAGAAATCTGTCTGGAGAGCGGAGAGAGCTCAAAGAATCAAAAAGTAAACAGTTACTGTATATTTTCACAGGTCTTCTCTTTAATTTTTCATATATACTCGGCTGTCAAGTTTCCAATTATTTTGAAATTTTCAGACTGTGGAAAATAGGCCTAGATAAGATACTTTGCAATTGCAGAACTTTTTAAAAATTCCTAGTTTTTTAGCTAATTGCCGGTTTCTGAGAGATTCCTCTTTTTTCCACGTTTTCAGTGCAAAACGTGTCGAAAAAAGTGTCGAAACGGGTCAAAAAGAAATGACAAATGTTGGCAATTAGCTGAAAAACTAGGAATTTCTAAAAAATTCTGTGAGTGCAAATTTTCTTATCTATGTCTTTTTTACACCCTTCAAAATTTTCAAAGTGATCGAAATCTTAACATCAGAGCTTAAGAATCCTGGTGAAAATGGCTAACACATAAGCTGAAAATGAAGTTTTGTATATCTTATTACTGAATATATGTAATGCAAAGTGACTTTTTCTTTCTAAGTCTATATGTTCTCTGAACTTTTTTCTCAAATCCTAAACAAGTGTAATTTTCCTAATGACGCCGATAAAAAGTGGAGGCAAAAGCCTTTTTTTATTTTGACAAACATAATTGCGACTTGAAACGAATGCGGAACTTATGTTCCAAAAGTACCTGGTTGGTCATGTTTTTTTTGTTGCATTCTGCGGTGCGCAAGCTTTTTCGTTGTAATACCTTGCGACTGTGTTTCGTTTCAGAAGTGATCGTAAACCGAAACAGGTGGGTTGTTTTGCCCTATCCCATTCTCGTATTTTCCCCTATTTGATCTCTCTTTTTCTTTCTTGCAGACTGATGATGTGACAAAACACACATATAAACGCCTACAGTTTCCTGCTGAATTCCAATCTCTTTTTTTCAATTCCCTGCAAGGGAAAATGAATTGAAATAGTGGAGGAATGTAGCAGGGAGAGAGGAAGATAGATAGCCGAAAACGGTGCGGATTGTATTTAAAATAAAAGTGGAAAATGAAAAATAGGTATGGCGTGACAATTTGACAGATGTTGCTTTTTGTTGTTTTTTTTTCGTGAGAAAACGTCGTCAATTCTTCTTTCTTACACCTATCCGTTTTCGTTTTTCATCTTTTACACGGGGTCCTTTGATCTTCAATTTCAAACAGAACATTTGCAATGCTGATGATGATGGTAAAACAAAAACAACACCAACTGTCGCCATCGGGGTGGAGCAATATTCTAGCTGGCATGGCGCCAGGGAACCTACTCAGATGTCGGAAACATCGTGTCAGGTGTGATGACTCAAGTGTATCTGTTTGTAATTCAAGATTTCGAGTGGTGACTTTTGTTTTTAGCAACGCCCGGACAGATGAGTTTTTGCGAGCAACGAAAAAAAATATACATCGCAACTTTTCAGAAGAGCAACAGCTGTTGATGGGAGTGGGAGAAATGATACAACAACAAACGATTCTATGGAAAAGCACAAAGTGTTTGTTCCAAATTTTTTCAAAACCCAAATGACACATTTTTCTAGTTTCGAGCACTGGAGAAAATTGAAACGAAAGTGGTAGAGGGGACATTTGAAAATTGGCCAAGGTTGAAATTTTAAAAGAATAATTGAACACAACTGTAAGAGAGTCAAAGATGGATATTGAAAAAGGAAAATAATATTCCAGAAGTTGAAACTAATGTTGTTACAAAATTAGTGAAAAAAAGGAACTGAGATTGATCATAGAAAACAATCAGAAACAGTGATTATTGCACTAACGGTACAGAAACGCCACTCCCGATCCTCAGAGCTCAATTATCTCCATTCCTCCAATCGATAACAAGAGTCTGTGAACGGATAAAATCTTTGGCATAATGTTACCTACCGATATGCAGTTAAAATCTTTCAAAAAATCAGATTATTGTTGTCCAGTTGTGACTGTGGGGGTAGTTTGAATATGGTATTTGTGTTTGACTATTTTGTACTACGGTATTTACGACAGGCTATTGTTCATTACGGTAGTGACGATTGCAAGTTTTTATTACGGTATTCGCGGCTGGCTTTTTTCGAAAACAATAAGTCAATTGATTGAAAGTATTTGTTGCTAATGGTGAAAACCATTGAATTTGAAGTTTAAAATTACCGTAACACCTGTATTGGAAGAGTCTCTTGATATCAAGGCGTTCCGGAGATACATTGGAGCACTAGAAGGGCACGCTCTTCCGATAGAGGTTATGTCGAATTTTATGGATAATATTATATTCACATCTTTCTCTACCTTTTAAATATTTTGAACTTCTGTTTATAAATATTATCCCTGTTCGAGAATGTCGTAGTCAACCGTTTTTAAAATCACCTTCTGTATATGCGGGAATTCTAAACACGTACTTAATAATTTCTAAAATCTTGGAAAATGCTAATTTTGATTATTTGAACTCGAAAACTCAAAACTCAATAATTGATAATGACAATACGAGAAAGCTTTAATGAAAATTTAAATTGGAATGCTTGAAACAAACCTTACTTGCTTGAAATTTAAAAAAATGTTCAAAAAATCCAGAAACTCATTGTATCCTGTGTCTTCTAAAACCGGAACACAAAGCACAACTACCGGTGGCAATGATTTTATAGCTTTCAAAGTGTTGTATTTTTTGAAAACACCCTCACATCTTGCAATAACAACTCTCATAAAATGAACAGTTTCAACTGGCCGCTACACGAACAAAGATCGCAAAAAAAAGTCACCAGGAAGCTCAGCGTGAGAACTCTTGTTTTCTCAAGTGTGGCCTTCTGAAAAATCTCAAAATCTTTTCTTGTTCTGATCGCGACATGCGTGATGTATTTGAGAAAATCTTAAAAAAGGAGGAAAACAAAGTCACTGGCAAACAACAACAACATGGAAGTTATTGAGTAAACAACACTGTTGTGGGAAAAATGAAAAGCTTTACTTAAAAATAAAACGAATTCTGAATTCTGAAAAAATTCAAGAGGGAAACTGAAGAATTTTAATCAGCAAATGTGAATTTAGTATCGTGAGTCTCTCCTGGAAACTCCAATTCGAGATTGAGTTTTCCGAAATCGTACACCTTTCTGGCCTTGGTACCAAGTGTCACATAGTCTTCTGGTAGACGGACTCCAATCCGTTTGTAGCCTTGCTGAAAACAAATGGAGTTGTTTTGGTTTCAATCAGTTAAAAATTTTAAACATACATTCGACGTTTCTTTGTTGTTCATATTGCAGTTATGATGGATGGTAACGTATGGTTGGATTTCTGTCTTGGTACGGGGGAATCTAGAAGTGCATTTTTTAAGAGTATCAAGAAAGAAGTATATCGTACCTGGAGGTATCTCCTTCCACTTGGAACATTCCAGTGATATAGGTATTTTTTACATCGAGCAGTTCAGCGATGTCTGAAACAATAGACTATAAAATGTCAGAAAAATCAGAAAATTACTATCAGCGGCGTTTGGTTGGTAGACACGGAAAAGTCGAACTTTAGCGCCTTCAAATGGTTTTCTTCCGCAGAAGAGTTGCCCTTTGATGGACATCGACCTGAAAAAGTCGAATAACTAAAACTTACCCAGACACTTTTGAAAATTTTGGAATCCCTTCGCCAGTTTCAGCCGATTTACATCAGTTTCAGTAACAAAAATTGTGGTTTTAGTGCAAAAAAGGTTTTTAAAGGCGATTATCCTAAATTCTAGGACGTTTCAGATTATAAAAACTGTTGTGTTATACTTATAATCGAATTAAATTTTATATTTCAGACCCTTTACAAATTTTGTTCAAATTTTCAAATTAATCTTTGATTTATCTAGAAGAAATTCGAACACTTGGAAAATTGATTTTGAGAAAATGTCTGCAATAAGATATTTTCAACTACACCACAGTAAATTTCATGTTCTGAAACGCCCCAAAAGTTGAAAAAATCATTTTCGGAAAATTCCGTTTGCACTGAGAACACTTTGTTTGGTACGGAAACTCATGTAACTTGGCTGAAACTAGTGAACGGATTCTAGAATTTCTAACATTGTCTAGATAAGCTGATCTCAACCAATCCTGAAGTTTTCACTAAAACCTATGATTACAAGATGTTGAAGTTCCCGTGTGAGTTTGAACTTCATACCTGTTGTGCACATTGGTTGGAACATCTAACTCCGATCCACAGTAAACCAACGCAATTTGTAAAATGATAGCTAATAAAATCAGGAATTTCATGGCTAGTGAAGAATCCTGAAATACGTGAGAATTGGGAGAAATGCTTTGAGATTTTGTGTTGGATGAGATCAATTGAGAAGAAGATACCAATGCTCACTTGAACACCTGACATGTTCAACCCGATCAATAGTTTAGGCTCCTCAAATAACACATTTAAAATAGAACTTTAAGATTCGAGAAAAAATTGAAAACAATTGTGAAATGAGGTGATCGAACTGTACGTTTCACTTTTTATCAGGCTAATTTCGTGCCGTTTTGACAGACCAAACATTGATGTATACCTCGTTTTGGCTTATCACCAATGGTTCTGTCAATAGGACGTTTTCAGCACTCTTCTTCAAAATAAACACTAATAGTGATCAGTTGAAATATATATTTATTGTAAGGCAAAACTGTTCTCGAAAAGTTACATAAAAATTGACCCTATCAAAAGAAAAAAGCTCCGAATTTAAAGGGAAAAGAGCACTCATAAATTTTCGGAACTATATATGCACCAGGACAATTCGGGAACAGAGAAAAGGGACACCAAAAACGGGGACAACCTAGGAAGAAAATATTCTCACCGGATATAATACAGAAATACACAGAATAAAAGCAAGTTTATGAGAAATGCAAAACGAGAGAAAAGCTGTAAACGGGACAAAAAATGGCAGGGAGAACTATGAAAAAAAAAAAGAAAACATACTAACCGCGTCTGAAGTATAAAAGCTGCTCTTTTTGTTTTATTTTTAGAGCATATATTCACATTTCAAAATAATTTTATAATGCTAGAAAGTTCTACTAGAAGAGAAGGCCGGGGGGGGGGGGGGGCAACGATACCGTTCCAAATAGGGAAAGGTATATAGTAGGAGAGGGATCTATTGAAAAACGCAAAAGAAGAGTAACCTGAGCAATTTGTAGTTTGTAAAAGCGAATCAGAAAGGATGTAAATGCATTATACTGCTATTCTTTTAAAAAAAGGCAACCGGGAAAAAATCAAGAAAATCAACCGGAATGAAATGAAAGAGTTCGAAAAAAAAACAATTATTGGTGTTGAACAAAAATGTTATGCTTGAGGGACGAGACAACCGAGATGAGTAGAAGAAAAGCCAATGTGGATGGTTTGAACGATCGAAAAGGGTTTACCGGAACAACGATGAGGTGGTGAGGTACGTTTCTTGTGGGGAAATATTGAAGGTGGAGATTCATGTGACAAGAGAGGGTTGGGAGAGTTTGGGAAATTTACATGTCCGAGCATCCATCGTTAGATGGAGCATCTGGACTTCCAGAGGTTCCATCACTATCATCATTGCTAGCCTGGCAAGATGCCAAACGAGCAGCCTCTTGGATTTGTTCCATGGCAGTCATCTGAAGTTATTTCTACTATATTTATATAGGAAATTCTAGATGAATCTGAGAAAAAAAACTCACCGATGAGATGTGTGGGAAGACTGGGCTCACTGATGGTGTAAGGAGCTCTCCCTCTACTGGCTCATCCACTCTGCGCATCTTCTGGCGTCTGTTACAGAACCAAACTCGGACAACATCTCTGTCGAGTTCCAGAGTGTTGGCAATATCAGTCATCTTATCATGATCTGGACGTGGGTTGATGGTGAAGAATGTGTCCAGAGCGTTTCTTTGGTTCATGTCCAAATTGGTCCTCTTCCTTCTTCTCTTGACGTGTTGGTCTCTGCTAAGAATGGTGTTAGCGTTCACTGAAGCGATGGAAGAGTGAATAATTTCATGGGCCTGGAATTTTTAAGTTATTTTGAAGAAATCTCTACGACAATCTTACATCTGAGTGATGAGGAGTGTGGTGGTTTCCGTTGTGAAGGGTCTTCTTATCAATCAGATCTGTTACAGTGGCTCCTCCTTCAATCTGCACCTCGACATCCACCAACCATTCCTTGAGAAGTGGTCTCAGTTTGCACATATTCTTGAACGACAAATTCAAAGCTTCGAATCTGGAGATGGTCGTTTGCGAGAAGTCGGTTCCATATCTCTTTCCAAGTGCAACACCGACGTCTCCTTGTGTGAAACCGAACTTTATCCTTTGCTTCTTGAATGTCTGTGCGAATGCCTCAAGCTCATCCATATCAATTCTATCTTCTCCACTCATGCTGGCGGCTTCGATTTTCGAGGTGTCGTCGAACAATCTCCTCTTCGAAGCTTTCAGTGTTTGTGCTACGACTGGCGGCCTGTTCTCTGCCTTTTTTGGTGTCACTGAAGCTGTTGGGGTGTTTGGAGTACTCATCAGCGAATGGAGAAGAGTTGGGCTTGGAGCAATTAGTGGAGAAGAGAGGAGGCCGGTGTTGGTGGCTCCCAATCCATTACTTCCCAAAAACCCTAATGAAGGTGTCATCATTGCTTGTAACAACTTCTCGGGTGTATTTAATTGTTCTGGTGATGTGAATAGAGGTGATAAAGGTGTCGTTATAGGTGTTAATAAGCCATTCCCATTTGTTGTCCTAGGAGGTGATTCCCCCGTATCTGAAACTTAAATTATCGTTGGATTCTTCAGAAAAAAACACAAAATAAAAAAAATAGAAAATGATACTCACCTTTTAATGAATTTATCTGTGCTTGTAAAAAATTTGCATTTATTGTCCCGCTCTCATTTGCCTGTAGTAACTCTGCCACTTTTTTGAGGAAGTCGTTTGTCCCAAGAGGGACTTGGTCCATATCGTCGACGTTGTTGCCGTTGGTGAATACTTCGCCTGATGTGTTGCCTTCGTCTTCGCTGAAATAACGAACAGAAGTTCCAAGGGAGTGATAGCAAGAGAGAAAAAAGGAAAATTGGGGGTGTTCTACCAGAAAAAAAGAAGAAGAAAGGGAGACTTCTAAAAAAATAAAACTAATATTATTAAAATCTTCCGTATCATGCGTATGCTTTTAGTCAAACAAAAAAGATGTTCCCCTAATTTAATTAAAATTTTTGCTTGTATTGTTCTTTGTTGTTTAGTTTCGCAGTTCAATTCAAACGCACAAAAATAAATGCATAGAAAACTCGGGAACGGATTCTTTTTGATATTTTCAGAAGAAAAAGCGGGAATAGCGAAAATAGAATACAACATTTTCTAACGCCAAAAAGTGCATGCACAAAATTCGAAATGATTCAAAAAACGGAAGTTCGGCTCACTGAGTGAAACTTTTTGGCATAAGAAATTGAGAGAAATTTTTTAGTGTATCAAATAGCAGAAACTGTAACTGAAGATCAACTAGAGAAGTGGAAAATCTTCTTGCTCTTATTGCAGCACATGCGTGCATTGAAATATTCATGATCTTAGTAGTTCGGCAACGTTTTTGCATAATGTGTAGCTCAGCAACAGATTTCTGAGGCTTTTGAGCATTTTTGAGAAACTAATTTAAATGTAACTGACGTCAATAAATCTTTTCATAAAAATAAAAGAAAGTTGTATTATGAGGATTAAAATTCGTAGACACAAATCAGAGAACACGCTTCTTATCTTTTGATTCACAGATCCAAGTTTGGATGCTTAATGTTCGGGCAGGAATGAAATTTAGGGAAAAAAAGAAACGTATACCGCAAACCAAAAAACCGGGGGACAACTTAGAAGTCACATCTCATTTCTTATGAATTTCAAAGTTTTGGCCAACAATAAATATGCGGAAGAGGTTCCTCCTAACCCATTTCTATGACCCTCACGACGCCGTCATGTTGCGTTCATTGTGGATAGAGTGCATTATGATGCATTAATTTTTTTTTCGTATATGGTGCGTCGATGATGTTGAATACGACGCATCCTTTTTATAGTCATACGCACGTATAACCCGAAACAATATTTTTTGAGGGCATCGGTAGACAGGTATCGAAAGTCAGAAAAATATATATTCGCTGCGTTCAAATTCAACCAACCGTGGTTACTGTAATTATGATGCTCGTTGTCTCGTTTCTAGTTATGCGGCAAAATTGAAAAATTCAAACATAGAGAATTGTAACATAAGTCAACATTTGCCTAGGAACCTAATTCTAATTGCTCAGTGTTGAATAAAAACGAAGTTCGAAAAAAGTAAGCGCGCGGAGTTTTTCTCATTGTTGACTTTTGTCAACAATGACCAACAACGTTTTTCTAACTAAGAAAATGACTCTACTCGACTTGTTGGCAGAATACTCATTTCCGAAACGAAAAGGCAAGTCACGGAGGACACGAAAAATGGCGGAAAGTGACAAATGGAATGCAACAAACGCATTTTTTTCTACCCAAAATTTTTGGCACCACACCAACAACTTTTTTCAAGCCCGCTCGAAACATTGAAGGGAGCCAATTATGTAAAGGTGTTGGTCCTATCCAGTTGGGTGCGCACCAACTTGACTTATTGTCGTTTAGTCGGAGAGCCGGAGCATTTATGCAACTTTCTATGAATTTTCGCATTTCACGCTCACTATTCTCAATATTTTCAACACCTTTTGCCTTCTTTTCCGTCACCTCAGTAATGTTTGAGGCCCCATTTTCATAATTGTCCAGGTTTTTTGATGAACTCCCTTCTATCTATTGGACGTCGTCCGCATAAATGTATGCGACACTTTCACACCTGGAGAGAGAACCAAAAAGGGAACTTGTCGAGTACTCAAACCAATTTTTGATGTAATTATTCTACATTTTCAAAAAACCTTCTCCTTCCATCCTATATTTAGTCATGAAAATGCAAAAAGAACTACGCAAGGGGACGATTGGGTCTGAAGAAGAAAAACGGGGAGAAGGAAATGTGAGAATGGAGGAAAGAATCCATGAATTCGGAATCGGTCTCGATTCGAAATGTATGGCATCTGATTTAGCAAAAAAAGGAGAAGCGGAAAAAAAAACTGGAATTGAACGCATTCCGTCCTCTTACTATGCCATTGGAACCTTTAATTAGTATGGAGAACAGTTGTAAAACTGGGAAGGAGAAACAATAACAGTCAAAGTAAGAGTTCGTGATGGATTTGAACGGTGAGAGACTTATGAAAAAAGGGGTCATGAATAAACCCTGAATAATTGCATTTATCCGATTAGTCTTCCAAAAAAACATACATAACAAAATTTCAGACTAGGACTTTCTCTGTCTCTTCAACATTCGAGTAGTAGATTGAAATGCTGATCTCCCCCCTCAGTTGTCTCTCTCAAAACCAATTTTCAATTTTCGATAGAGTGTGAAAATGACTAAAAATGGAACGCGCAAATTAACTGGTTTTTTATCCGGTAGTCTCTGGATTATTTTTATTCACGAACTTTTCAAAAAATCGAGAAAGTTTGGTAAAAACGACAAAGTCTCAAGTTTCCTGAGAAATTTTGCTAGAGCTATTTTGAATGATGAATGGGTCATTAGTATTTTGTGAACGCCTGTTTAGTAGCAGTATGGAATTCCCAGAAACTGGAATATTCAATTTTCAGGGTCCTTCTGGTTTTGAGAATTTTTCTATTTCCCTATGTCAAACGAGGGTTCGGAATCTTTCTTAAAAAACATATTGTAGATGCTCGAATAGAAGTCACCCTATCAGTGCACTTTAAACTCAATTATCTCAGTTCATATGAGAGATATAAAAAATCTGTGAACTGATATATTATTGGTAAATTTATGATGAATTTATCAGTTTTCAAACTTTTGATATCTTTTAAAGGAATTGAGATTGTTAAGCTCAAAATGGAATTGGGCTTCTATCAGAGCATTTACTGTATTTTTCGTCTTATGAATCTATTGGGATAACAATTAAGTAATTGTCCGAACACCTAGCAAACGAAGATGATGAGATAAAAATGAGCAATTTCGAATAGAAGAGGAAGACACTAACACATTACTTCTCACATACGGCTCCCGGGTCAAATGGGTGAAGATGCATGGGAATAGAATAGGGAAATTCTTTATGGCTGAAATAATTTCTCACTCGATTACTCGCCTTGCTCTTTATCGGCCCTCGTCTTTTTCAATCTACTTCACTACACACACACACACACACACACACACACACACACACACATCAATGAAAAAAAAATTATGTACAGCCGTTTAATTAGTGCGAGGTGCCCTATGTCGGGGAGGTTTTCTTACAGCGCAGCAAAAACGTCTTCTTTGTAAGGAGGGGCTTCTGCTTATTTAATTACCACTTGCAGAGCAACAAAAAATTTCAGAAAAAAGTAGTCGGGAGCAAAAAGATCTTTAAAGGTTCCTTTCAATATAAACGGGAAAGATTTAATGATTTCTGTATTTTGGATTAATTTTCAGCTTGTTTTGTATTGAAAATTTTTTCGAACTCTCAAGATTCAAAGATTTCGCTCCAAAAAACTTCTAAGAAAAAAAAACTAATTTTCAAAAATGCAATCGGTCTTTTCCCCATTTTTTTCACGGCGATTTCAATGCAGATTGCATAGGATTTTCCCAGGAGAGGAATTTCAATGGGAAAAGTTGGAAAAACCAAAAATATTCTCGCTTTACTATATTTATATAATTCAAACTGTCCCTAGCTTGATTTATTTCGTTTTTTTCATTCTATGAAAAAGTAGTACTAATTCTGAAACATCCGGCTCCCATTCCTCAATGAATATGCAAATGCGCATTTTTCGAAACGGATCAAATTTCCATTTTAACAAAAAACCGAAAAAGGAGATTCAAAAGTCCATAAACTTGAAGATTCAAGTGCAATAAGAATTTTGAAAAGTTTAAACTCACTGTAGATTGTGCTCATTAATCTCATTATTGACGAACTGTGTGATTGATGCCAGTAAGGGTTCCGCGGCATCCTGATGCATCGCTGGGCATTTTATTTCTTCCCGAGGTTGTACAATTTCCTGAAGTTTTCAATTTTTAATATTCAATTTTACTGGAAATATTTGTTTGTTTCCAGGAGAGTACAATTCATCTCAAAAAATACATAATTCAAAATGTAGTACTCAACTAAAAACTGAAAAAAACCACAAGGATCCCAAGCAGAAAAAAAACCAGAGAGTCACCATATAGAATAAATCAGAAAAAGAGAAGAAGATAGTTGGGTAGAGTTTTTGAGAGGAAAACGAGAGAGGGAACTTGAAAGATGTACTTTTTGGGCAAAAAGCTAGAGAAGAACAAGTTTTGGACCACACTACTCCATTCTGATTGGGAGCCCCCTGATTTTGCAGCAGTTTTTCTTGCCCCATGCAAATCCAATCACTAGAATGGGATTGAAAAGAGCTTTGAATTTGAGAATAACACTCTCGAGAAAATGTGTGGAAGAAGCTGGGAGAAGGGAGGGGGAAGAATGCAGAGAAATGAAAAAAATCAGTTTTGCATGGACACCTTCGTGGCACTTCTGCTTTTTAATAGTTTATGACTTGAGCGGGAAAATACAATACTTTTATTATTTGCATATTCACCCATAACCCTTTTCCCTTCGTTTTCTTTGGAATTTTGAAAACGATAGTTATCAGTATACGAAGGATAGTTTTTCGACTGATCAGTTGGATTTTCGAAGATCAAAGAGGTTCAAAGAGCCGACAAATGACCACAGCTTACAGGAAATAGTGTTGCAAAATGAAGAATAAAATCGAATGGAAAAGAGGCAAAAGGGTGGGATAGGAAAACAAAAAAAAGTCGTTAGATGGTCCCAATGAGAAACAGAAACGACCTACTACACTTGCAGCTTCTCACTTTTCAAATTCCCTCGCTATTTTTTTCGCGGCGTTTTTTTCCTGTTTTATGTATGCAACAAATGTTGCATCGAGAAGCGGACTGGAGAGGAATCTCTGCTAGAGTGGGTGCTCCCAGAAAAAACATTGAAAGGCGAGGGAGCCGCGCCAAAATAGGCCAAGGGTCCATCCAAAGAACCCGGGGGTTTCAAGGGAACGGGCAAGAACTCGGCGAGCAAGAATTATATTCGCCCTCGCCCATGTATAAATCTGAGAGGCAATTGAAAAAATAAAGATGAAGAAGAAAGGAACGGAGAACGAACTGGAAATGGAAATGGAACGATGTGAAAAACAAGCAAAATTGTGGAAGGGCTCGAAAAGAAAACTCGAGTCATTCAGTGTGAGGTCGTCTCACTCATGCACACGCGAATGGACCGCCAGAGCAGTGTCGCCTTTGCCCCCAAAGGATCTCTTCTCTTTTTTTTCGTCATCGTCGTCGTCGTGGTCGTTTTTCTTCTCATCTTCACCACCAAAACGACGATGCTTATTACTTATTCAATTACTCGGCAAGGGGAGGGTCATGATAGTCATTGAAAAATATTGTTGTATGATTGGCTCTGAGACTCCGCCAACTTCAAGTTTTGTTCTTCCTAGGGTGGTTGGTCTACGAGAAAATTATTACTCCCAGAATAATTTTTTAGGCGACTACGAATTGAAATGCTGCGCACTGACCCATACGAAAACGGTGATCTTGTTTGAATCCGATTAGCGAATATTATTCATTGGATTTAAAATATGAATAATATGTATTTGTATTGATCGATAGGACTGTTTGAATTTTTTTAGTTTTGAAATAGTTCAGAACTTATTTTGAATGACGACAACTATTGAAAAAAAAAATCAGAAGAACAACAGATATTGAGATTTTGAACAGTTTTTTCACAAGTTACAGTCAAGCAAAAGATATTTTGAAAACATATATATATATTTTTTCCGAAACAAAACGGATCATTCACAAAATATCACAAGCTGAATATTCAAAAAACAACTGAAATGGAAGTTTCTAGACTACTAATCCTGAAAAAAATGAGTATTGGTTGGGAAACGAAAAACAGAGCACTCCACGAGGCCTCTTCGTCCTACTTTTTGCCCATCATGCACAAGGTCCAACTCCCGAACCAGCTTATCTCGATACCCGCATCTCTTCCTTTGCTTCTTACCACTTTTTAGTCACCCCTTTATTGCATTATCCCACACTTTCTATGCGCTCAATCTTGAGAAGACAAATTGATGGCCGGAATGAGAAAGGAAATTCGTAAAAAAAAAGAAAGCCCCAATTGAATGATAAAGACTAGAACTTTGATTCAGCTTCAACCCAAAATTATTGCAGTTTTTCAAGCTTCTTGAAAGCTATCAAAATTTAAAGATTCAAAAATTACCATTATCACCTACTTACAAATGATGTTTGAAACCGAAAACAATAAAACTAACTTCTTCAACTACCACCACTGGAGGTGGCGGTTCGGGTGCTGCCTGGATTACTTCTGCTTCTCCTTCTTCGTCGTCTTCTGTGATAATCCTTTTCACCGGCCGACTTTTCCGTCGACTCGAACCCGACAAAGATGGACTGACACGTTCTGTGACAAGGCAGCTGCCATTGGACTCTGAAAAATGGGACAATACATGGGATTGTTGTGCGACATCAGCCAATTCATTTGAAGATCCCCCTTGGCAAATCTAAACATTTTATCTCATTTTCGCAATGTCAATCAAATTCGCAGCATCAGCAAAAGCGAAGAGTTTTTTTTCGTTGGGATTTTTCCGCGTTGCATCAATAAACTGATCAAGAATGACGATGCGATTTTTTTTCATTCTCGAAATCTCATAAGAAACAGGAACTTGAATAGTATGAGATAAGGAGGTGAATCAAGGAATCAAGAGTAGTAGTTATAATAACGATGTGTGTTATGTACTTTGAAAATTAATTGCTAATTTTTAAAAATCAATAGGAATTTTTCTGAAAATTAGAGAAATCTATAAAAGATTGAATATTGAAAAAATCGAAAATTCTGAAGTTGGAAAAATTTGATTGCGGATCACGATTATACAACCACATGTATTAGTTGAAGAGAATTTTCAAAATTTCTTTGAAACAAAGAAACTTAAAATTTAATTTTAGAATAATTTAAAGCAAAACCGTGACTTTTCAGATGTTCAACCTATTCTGAAAATGTTAAAAAATTAGATAATTGAAAATCTAACGGTTTCGAATAAAATGCATTCATGACAAATATTTTTTTCAAATTAAAAAAAAAACAGGTACCCTCAAAAATGGTCACGCTGGAAATTTTGAAAAAAAAACTAACCACTCTAGTGATTTCTTTCAAATTTGACGTTTTTGTCTAATTCTGGAAGTTAGTGCTTAGCAAATCTGACTGCCACATTTGCTTTAATAGAAGCCGCCTATAGAATTTAAGGTCAATTATCTTGGTCCCTTGGTGAGAGAGCAAGACATTTTTCAATGATAAATCATTGATCATAATATTATTACTATTTTATCGGTTGATAGATTTTTGATATCACTCATAGAAACTGAGATATTAGAGTTTTAAGTGCGTGTATAATCTATGCTCCTAGTAGAGCACCTACAGTATGAGCAATTCTAATTTTTTATAGAACTTGTCTGCCGTCCAACTAGAAAAAATTATCACCCAATATAACTATTCCCGTTTCTCTCAATAAAAAAATGTTGCTCCACGGACACGACACTGCAACCTAAGAAGCACATCGATCATCACCTCCGACCCGTTGGTTGGCTCGTTTCTCTTTTCTCCTTGAAAAAATCAGTCAAGGATGAATGATTACGACACTGAGTTTGATTTTTGACTCTTTTTTTCGCGAGAAGATGGACCAAGAAAATTAAAAAAGATAATCACTTACCAAAAACATCTGCAAGAAACTGGAACGTTCTCTCCATAGAGTTCATATTCCTTGCATTTATGATATGTATAGGAATTTTGAAGCAACGGGAGACTTTATTTTGTCTGCAAAAAAAAAAGATATGAGCTAATATTTTGTAAAAATAATCAAGAGGGGCGAGGAGCGAAGAGGAAAGGGAATGATTCAAAACTGTATAAGAGGGTGTGGAAATTAAAGCTGGATGTAGGAGATGACGGAGCAGAATAGATTGAAGAAAAGAGGGAAAAGCGATTGAAATAAACTAAATGTAATATTCCGTCAATTGAAAAAAATGAGAATATGAAGAATGTGTTTCATGTGAGCAAATCGGCGGCATGGATCAAGCGAAAACGCGTGGGGGCCACACGTTGGGTGATCGGGAGGGGAGGAAAAAATCGGCATCGGCGATTCAAGAAAATGAGCCACCCTAGAGAGTTGTAATATTGGCATAAAATCAGTCTCGAGTGGGAAAAGCCCCCCAGACACAAACTAACTTGCAACTAACTCAGTGTCATACACACAAGCGTTTCTCTCTATCTCATTGAGACAAACGAGCTGGGAGAGTTCTAATATTTTTCAGCCAATTGTCGCATGCGCCTAATGATTTGATCCGATTTTTGCTTTGAGGCGCTTCTCGATCTTCCCTCCTTTTGTTATGATAGCTGTTCAAGTGAGTGTGAGTGGGGAGAAGAAATTTAAAGAAATGAAGAGCAGTTCGCATAGTCACTTGGTTTTAAACTTGAGGTGGAAATGCTCAAGTGACAACTATCTATGCAATTTTTTTGATGAGTATTAGGGTAAACAAAATTTGAAAGGTGGACCGCAGTTCGAAAAATTAGCACTCAGTTTTCTTGAAATATACTGTATCGGGACTCCAGCCTAAAATGAAAGGTATCGAATTCAAAAAAAAAGTCATTAATATTCAAAAGTCCTAATTCGAAAACTTCGTTGTTGCAAAATTGCATGAGATCATAAAGGAGGAGAATTGATACTGATAAGCTTTGAATAACACATTAGAGTATTAAAAAACGCCAAATTTGCATATGATAAGAAAATTTTCTGTTTCAGTTCTGTAGAGGTGGTGTTTGTCACTAACATTTTCATTTTAAAAAAAATTGCTCCATAAAACGAGCTCGGCTAGAAAATTAGTTTCTGTGCTGGCGGCTAGATCTGAAAGATATGCAAAAGCATTACATTTCTCGGGAACAAAAAAACTCTTCCTAGAGATAAGATGATATGATCTCCTGTGTATGCGCCTCGGGCTCGGGCTTCGCCATCCATTACACTACACATTCATTACCTAGTCTTTTGAGCACCACTTGTGCTCATGAATTCGAGTCTTCACAAAATTACGTAGGTTGACAGACCGACGACAACACAACTGTTAGGCTAAAACCAAGAGAAGAAAACTTTAGAAGTTTTTTTGATTATAAACGGATTCTCTTTTTTTGATGGATTTTATCGAGTGATTGATTGGAGGGAGAAAATGTTGATTCCTGGGTGTTGTTGTCGTGTATTGGCGAAACAAAAAAATGAATACGGAGAAGAATGATTTTGAGAAGAAGCGTGAAGAAAAGGGATAAGAGGGAAAAAAGGTAGATTGTGTATAGGGGTGAAACATGGCGAAACAGGTGCGATATCGAGAGGTCATCAGCTTAACGAAATGAGCATTGACACATGAGCCTAAAATTTTGAGAAAGCAATTCGAAACTCGTTTTTCCAATACTCAACTAATAGCTAGTTGCACACTATTTTGCCTTCCGAGAAACGATATTTCCGCATACTGTAAAACGCGGTGGCACTGGTTGGATCCATGTTTAACAAAAGTTATTTGCGACTGGATCCATGCGGCGCGCGGGCAGTTGTTCAAATATGCATATTAGATGGTGTCGATTTGAAACGGCGGTGCTTTCCAGCCCTACTAGTTGAAGCTGGATATACGACATTTGCCTATGCAAGCGAAAGAATGCCTTGCCTTGTGTGCTCGTTTTGCCCCAAAAAGCACCCCCAAATGGCTCTATAAATAATCACAATGAAGTCGCTCTGGTGCTGGACACATGTATGTCGTTGTGGTCCCAAGGAAAAATGAATAAAAAAGTTGGTGAATGGCGGGGGGAGAAAAAATGAAGGGGTCCCCCATTTCTAAATGGACGTGTGGGGCATTTTTTCCTTCCTCGACCTCATTTGACTATTCACAATGTGTCAGGTAAAATAAAGCAATATTTTCCTGGCTGAGCAGCTATAGCAGGGAATAAAAAACTGATTCATGAAAAGTGTATGTCAACCGAACCGCTTCAAATTCAAAACCAAAATTTGTAAATCAATATTTGTTGTACCTCATGTTTGTAAGCACACAAGGAAGTTAATATTTCTGAATTTTTTGTTTTAGGAAATGTATTATTTTACAGATTTCGAAAATTTTCAAAACTCGGAATTTCATAACGTGTTCCTAAAAAGGATTCCAATCATAATGACAAATTGAAATGATCGCTCTAAAAGATCAATTATTATTTGGTTTCGCAATTCAAATTTTTGAGCATTGACTCAAAATTATTCACACTTACTGTAAATGATTTTGCATTACACAAGAACAAGATATGAGAAAATATCATCATATTCAAAATGAGTCATAGCTTTACAAAAATGTTAAATCAATTTTGAGCATTGGTCACAAATTCCATCAAGAATTCAAACATCTAGCTAGCTGGATCATAATGTAATCGCTTTTTTCGTAAACTTGCATTAAAACTTTTGATAATGAACTGTAGTCACTGTAATTTTCTTGACAATAGGAGAAAAATGAAAATTAATGGAAAGATGCCAAGTAAGGAATGTCTCTTTTTTAGTCAGTCTTTCGTTGTCAACTGATTTGATACGTCGATGTTGTATTCTGATTGCCCTAATTGATCGATACTCTCCTCGAGTTGAATTTGATTTTGGTTGATTAGAATTCGTGGTAACAAACTGTACACGTTAGGGATCAAAGAAAAAAGAATGGCGTTCAGTTAATTATCAAACACGTCTAAGTTTTGATTTCACTCGTTGTTTCGACACCGTCTTCTACCTCCCATAGTGATCACCGCTTGTCGCATTTTTTGTCGCCTCTTCATCGCCCGGTATGCTGATGTGTAAAGTGTTTTATATGGTTAGAAGAAGACGTCGAAAAAAGGTAAGAGGCAAAAATGGAGTATTTCATGGAGAGAAGATGCAAAATAACTAAAGACCTAACTGAAGGTCACCACAGGACTGCATATTTTTGTTTTATTTTCTCGAAATCATTACGGTTTTTTGAGGTCATTTGATTATCACTTGACTGCATAATCCCCATTGGGGTGGCCTCTCGCCCTGGTTTATTGGTAAAACGAATTACCGTAGTCAACAACTCGAGCCCCTTTTCTCAAGTTGTAGTTGAAATCAAACAGAACTAGTCTAATTGATTTCGGCGCCTTTTTCCTGACTCATCGCTAATGGAGCACAATCCGAATGAAAAATCAAATACGCAGTGTATGTGGCTGTGTGTGCTCGTTTTATTCGAATCGATTCGAAATGAGTGAGTTAGAAATTCATGTTGTTTTTCGAAGAAAAATGCGCAGCTGTTGCAGTCTCGGTGTATCTGAGCAGTGTTTTTGGGGATACATAGGATGATGAGGACAACTGACATTCGAGCATGGAACAAAAATGTGGTTCATGACCCTTTAAAGATGATTTCCATCTTGTCAGTCGATGAGAATTCGATTAGGAGGGAGTGATTGAGAATTCTAATTTCGTAAAATCAAAAACAGAACATTCAGGTAATTTCAGGTACTTCTCAATGGGACTAAGCAGAATATGGAAAATCTATTACCGAGCTTTACGTAAATTCATAATTTTTGCCATAGATATCAGAACTCAGTTGGACTAGAAGAGTTTCAAATTTTAAAATTTTTTATTTTCTCTATTAAAAGCTCATCCAGATCGGTCAAGTTTAAGCTCAATTATCTCGTATCTTGTGAAACAAAATTTTGGGTTGGCTCATATAAGAGGAACTAATTCTGGGTTGGCTCATAGAACTTTTTTAAAAAGAGGAACTATGGTAGTTTTTATAAGCTGAATATCTCAGAAATCTGATCTCCAATAAAGTCTCCAATAAAAAGAAACAAGTAATTTTTAAATCTCTTATTCTATGCAAGATATCGATTACCAAATTTCTTATTGGGTAATTATTCTATAACACTAGGATCTTTGATCCGGACTAGATTTAGATACATGAATCAGAATTATCATGAATTCAAAATCAGATGAAACTAACTTCATTTTGAATCTGAAAATCGACATCTCTTTAAAAACTACAGTAACCTATTTTGAAACTACAGTAAGGTATCACAAAAAACAGGAATCTTGCTTCTTGACAACTAACCAGCCATGTTAAAATTCAAGAAAAGTCCTAGATTCGATTGTTGACTTCAATAGATCGGGTGTTGGAAAAAACGGTGGTTCGTTTACATATGAGCAGAGCCCAAAGGCGAAGAAAAGTCTCGATAAACACAAAAATTATACGCAACGAGTTGAGAGCATTTGGTTAAGAGAAGAAGCACAAAAACTCTGACGGGACTTTTTGAGATACTCAGAAACGCCAAGGTCGCGTGTGCGGTATTGGATAGTCTGCTTCTTCTCAAATTCTCGATAAAGAGAAAAATGGAAAGTAAGAGAAATAACTATTAAGATGCTGCACAGTAACCTCGGGAGCTCGACTTGACTCAACTCTTACGTGACGGGAGGGCTCTATTTGCATACGCGACCTGGTTGTGGCGGCGGGGTTGGCAAATTGTGCAACTGTTTGGTAGATTGAGGAAAATTGAGAAAACGACTCTCAAAATTCATTGAGTCACGTCATTGTTAGAAGGTTGAATAGAAAATGTATACAGAGTTTTTCTAGGGGCACAAAGAAGGAGTATTAGTCTAAGTGTTACGGACGCCAGATGGTGCATATTCTGTCTGATGAGAGAGACAATCTGTTGAAATTCGCTTGGCACAAATTGACAAACAATG